TGCCTGAATGGGTTGTTGATGGATGAGTGGGCAGGTAACTGGATGGCTGGATGGATGGGTAGATGGTTGGTTGGTTGGATGAGTTGGTAGACAGCTGAATGGCTGGTTGATGGATGAGTGGGCAGGTAATTGGATGGTTGGATGGATGGGTAGATGGTTGGTTGGTTGGATGAGTTGGTAGACGGCTGAATGGCTGGTTGATGGATGAGTGGGCAAGTAACTGGATGGCTGGATGGATGGGTAGATGGTTGGTTGGTTGGATGAGTTGGTAGACGGCTGAATGGCTGGTTGATGGATGAGTGGGCAGGTAATTGGATGGCTGGTTGGGTGGATAGATAGATGGATGGGGTGTATTCCACCTAGAGTAAGAGCCCGAGGTCTCCCCTTCCTCTCCCAGGTAGACTTCTTCTGGATGCCCTATGCTCATGAGGTTGGAGATCTGATTTAAAGCTAATGGAAACTGGATTCTCCCAGACCCTGTGTTGAAGAATGTTTTTAAAAACAACACTGAAATATTTGTAAGGTCCTGTGTAGAAACGGCCCCAGGTTCTCTGCTTTCTGATCTTGGTCGTGTGCCCACATTTCTAGACCCTTCCATCATGTGCACGCAAGGTGGGTGGAGGGGAATCCTGAGGGGAGACTCTGCCAGAGTAACTGGACACATTCAACAATCCATGGGTGTGATTTGGTCAGACCACTCCTCGGCTCTGCGTCCCCGAGCAAAGCTTTTGACACAAGAGAGGATGGGGATGGATAACTGCCTCCTGTTAGATTCAGAAACCGTCTACCTTGGATCTTGCTTCCTCCTGCGTGGTCTTTAATTACCCTTGCATCCGCAGTGGGCCGGCCTCCGCCGTGAGCTGCCCCCCAGACTGTCGCCTCTCTCCTGCCCCCTGGCTTATCCTGGGTAAGTGGCCCGGGTGCTGGCGTGCCACCCGGGTCTCTGTGGCTCACCAGGCCGTGTCTGGCAGGAATTCTGAAGTGGGCTGACGAATGGCTGGTCCAGACAGTAGCACGTGCGCCCTCGGCCAGGGCCCAGCCTCACCCCAACACCCACTCAAGAGCCACACACAGCAGCCGCCTGGGCCGTGATGGCAGGTGGTGCCATGAGTTCCCTCACCTCTGCCAAGTGCGCTGTCTGGAAGGGGTCCATGCTGGAGGCGGTGGCTCCCCAGGCTGACCCCTGCGCCCTGTGTGGAAAAGCCCAGACGCCATTACCCCGGTAACATCAGCATCCATCGTCTGACACCCCATCAGGCGGTGGTTCTGTCTTGGCCATTTTCCCCAAACCCAGCCCTGTTCCATGGCTGGCCCTGGGCAACCACACCTTCACTGTGGGACAGAGGGGGCTGCGGGCACGGGTCCCGTACTCCAGGCGACCGGGCCTCACATGCCGGCGCAGGCACCCGTGTGGCCGAGGGGTGGGTCCTTAGTGTCACCTTCCTTCCTCCAATGCACTGTTCTCCTGTGAAGCGGGTAAGGACACTGACTTCCAAGGTCACTGGAGGGTGGGCAGGCAGCCGTGATCAAAGCAAGGCGTGTTGGGCACACGGTGGGAGGCTCGTAAACGGCACTGTGATTCCTCTCATCTCCTGGGCAGTGGGAGCCCGCAGTGTGTCTGACTCCCCTGCCCTGGGAAAGCGGAGGGGGGGCACTCCTGAACCACGGTCAACGCCAGAGCTTTTCTCATTTGCTTAGAAGCTGCCCCTTGACCCGGGTGTGGCCAGATGTCCCTCTTCTCTGGGGTCCCAGGCCCTGGTACCAAGCCAGTGGTCAGGAACCTATGAAACCAAAGTCTTCACCTGGGCACCAAATCACAGGGAGGCAGAGCCGGCAGGGATCGCCCAGGTCACCCGTCCAACTTTCTAAGACATTCTGGCAAAAGAACGCCCAGACTGCTTGGCTCCCTGCAATGACGGGGAACTCATCCCCTCCTCTGAAGTCTGTTCAATCTCTGAAGAGCAACAATGGCTCTGCCCGCCTTCCATGGGCCCAAACAGCCACGCCTGTCCCCGGTGCGTTCTGGTCCTGCTGTCCGCCACATGACAGGCAACCCAGCCAGCCCGGCCCCGCGGTCTTCTCTTTCCCTGGCTCCCAATCAGCTTAGGCCCTTCCAGAGTTCCTCTGCGCGGAAGCTGCCGTTTCCAACGCTGAGGGTTTGTGCAACACCCAGCTTCATGCACACGGATGGAGCCTGGGCAGCCTGCGGCCGCTCTCTGCCGGCAACCGGTCTCGGGGGGCGAGAGCTCTGCCTAAAGCCACAGCCTGCAGGCGAGCCATGCTGTCACGGGCTCTTCCCCAGAAGCCCCACTCCCAGGCTGGATGGCCCTCCACGTAACCATGGCGACAGCTCTGGGCCTCCTCGGGGCCTCGGGCACACCCTCCTCCTTAGAACGGAAGCAAAGCATGACAGGCACACTGGCGGTGACCACGTGGTGCGGGTCCACTCTGCCAGGCAGCCTCTTGCTGCTGCAGAAACCCCTCATCTGACCCTAACAGAGACATGTCAGGAGAAGCCCGGGTCAGGTATGGCTCCCTGGGAGCCCCTGGGCGTTCTCTCTGTCGGCCCCACTGGTGCCAAGCCAAGGTCGCCGCTTGAGCATTCAAAGTCAGAAAGCCGGCAATGTTCGTAAGATCTGGAAAGTCAGCCACGCCCCTTAGGAGGGGACAACCCAGCCCCTCTGCTGGGCATGGGATTCCTGTCCTAACACCTCTTGTGGGTGACAGAGGGGTGGCAGGGAGGGGGCAGCACTAATAGCCATTCCACGGCTACACAGACATCCCAGAGAGCGGGAAACCAGCCCTCGTGGGAGGATGTCCACAGCAGCGCCATTCGCAGGAGCCAAAAGGTGGAAGCCACCCAGACACCCACCCACAGAGGAACGGGCAAGCAAAACATGGCTGACAGCCGACGGAACATTCTCTCTCCTTAAAAAGGCAGGACACTCTGACACCTGGTACCACACAGACGGACCCAGACGATGCCAGGCTGACTGAGACAGACCGGTCACAGAAAACCCCAGTGCTGTGTAATTCCACTTCTATGAGGGCCCCAGGGTCACCAGATTCAGAGAAAGAGTGGACGGTGGGCATCGGGGCTGGGGGAGGAATGGGGGTTGGTGTCTCAGGGGGACAGAGTGGATGGTGGGCACCAGGCCAGGGGAGGGACGGGGGTCGGTGTCTCGGGGGGACAGAGTGTAGACGGTAGACACTGGGGCTGGGGGAGGGCTGGGGTCAGTGTCTCAGGGGGACAGAGAGTGGCTGGGGGGCTCTGGGGCTGGGGGAGGATGGGGGTCGGTGTCTTAGGGGGACAGAGAGTGGACGGTGGGTGCCATGGTCGGAGGATGCCTGGGGTCAGTGTCTCAGGGGGACAGAGGGCGGCAGTGGGCACCAGGACTGGAGGAGGGATGGGGGTCGGTGTCTCAGGGGGACAGAGATTCAGTCTGAGAAGATGAAAAGTTCTGGAGACGGATGGTGGGGACTGCCGCACAGCTACGTGAATGTACCTAATGGCACTAACCTGTGCCCCTAAAAATGGTCGAGATGGTAAATTGTACGTATATATTTTATTACAATAAAAAGTTGAGATAAAAGGAGGTGCTGATACCTGCTAAAAATGGATGAACCTTGTAGCCAAGATTCTAAGTAAGGAAGCTACACACGAAGGGTCTCGTGTCATGTGACTCCGTTTCCATGAAACACGCAGGGAGCCAGCTGGTGGTTTGGGGCTGGGGGCAGCGAGCATGGGGCAGGCCTGCCGAAAAGCTGGGAGCTCTGGGAGCTCCCTTTCGGGTGGATGGAAACGATCTGGAACCAGACCGGGGCTGGTTCCCCAGTACGCAAATGCACCAGCATCACCACCGTGCAGTTGGAAATGGCAGTTAGGTGATGTGAATTTTAACTCAGGAGAAGCAGAGATGAAGGAGGGCAGGTTGGGTCCCTCACAGGCAGCCGAGAGTGAGGAGCACGGTGTGGGCTGCTCACCACGGACTGGGGGGCCCCGGGGCAGGGGGGCAGAGGGTCCAGACCCTTCCCCAGCCCCAGCCTAATGGAGGAGATGGTTTGGTGGGCTTCTCAGAAGGGGCCCCAGGGATGGCTGCCAGCAGGGCTGGGAGCGGGACCTTCCCTTTCCGACGGGTCACACACCCGGCGTCTCCTCCCTTTCCCCGCGTCGCAAACTAACTCTCACTGAGGCTACCATCCACTAAGGTTCCTTCTCCACACCATTCTGGCCCCCGGAGGGGGACCCGTGTTTGTGACAGAAACGGGGGGTAGAGAAACTCGGCGCGTGAGGCCAGTAAGGGCCTGAGAAGCGGAAGTGGCAGCAGGGACACTGGCTGGAAATGCAGCTCGTTTCTGAGCTGTCCGTCCCCTCGCCATGTGGGCCCCCGGCCTGCCTCAGGCTGTCTGGGAGTTACAAGGAGGAGGCCTGAGAGACCCGAGCACGACGTGTGCGTCTGTAGTTTCTGCGGGGAAGCTGGAGCCCATGCCCCGTGTCGCATCACCATAGGTACATGGCTCTCTGCGTGCAACCAACAAGCCCTCTTTGGAGCGGCGGCCCACAAGCAAGCCCGCCGTGCTCAAAGGCCCCACCGCTTGGTGCCACGCCTCTCACGGGCGAGGAGCCTTTCCGTACACAGACTTCAACTCGGAGGCAGAAGGAAGAGGGAAAATGCAGATGACAGGGAACCCCAGAGCCACGGCATCCTGAAGATTCGCACAGCCAGATGCTGTCATCTCACATGAGGCCCGGTCTTCCCACTCCGGGGCACCCCACAGGGACGCTCCAGCCCAACCCCAAACCCCGGGCAGCGCAGAGACCACACCTCGGGCAGGTTCTCTGGAAAACGGTGGCTTCGGTAACGTGGCCCACGTGCAGGGGGTCACAGTGGCCACAGCGAGCGAAACAGCCCGGGGGGTCCGAGGGCTCCACGCGAGGGGGCCCAGTGCTTTCGTGGTGCATCTGAGCCCCTCTGCCGAGAGAAAGAGCCTCGTCTTACCTGGTGGCATCGAAGCTGTCATAGGAGCCGACTGTGTAGTGCCGGAAGAGCTTCTTGCTGCGGTCCGCACGGGTTTCTGTCCAGAGAGGGAAGAGAAACACCGTTTAGAAAAGTCACGGTCCCCAGACGCAGAAACCAAGCGAGGCCGGCCGGGCCTCTCATTGCTCTGACCTACGAAGCGCGAGACCCGCTCTCTGGGGAAAGACCTGGGGGAAGAGAGGGCTCGTCTTGGGAGCTCTGACTTTGAGGAAGGCCTGTGAACCTCAGGGCCGGCTTCTGGAGTCGGGAGCTCCATTCTGAAACGGAGGCAGAGTCCTGGGTCTGGGAAGGAGCGGGAGGGGGCTCTCTGCAAAGAAGACAGCCCCGTGCTGTAAGCCGGAAGGGCAGCGAGACTTTGGCACAGGGAACATTCCAGAAAGGTATTTTCGAGTGCTGCCAGGCCTCCCAGCAAACCCGAAGACGGCTGCTTTCGGAAGGAGAAGGCTTCATTGTTCCTTTTCTGGTGAGAGCTGCTCTTTTCCTAGAGAACAAACAAACAAAGCCCAGAACCTGATTCACGTTCCTAATGAAGCCCCCGCTGGCTTCTCTTACTCCGCGGGGCTGGACGTAAACTTGATGGGATGAGACATGAGCGCCGCAACTGGACTGAGCGGGCGGCTCAGGGCCGGAGGGAGAAACCCACCACCACGCGAGTACAAGGAACTCAGAGGCTCCATGATTCACTGCCCAGGTATGTCCCGGACAGCCTGCTTCCTAAACCCTGGAGAAAACACGGAGGGACCATGCGACTGGCTTCAGGAATACGGCTCAAAACCTCATGGAACTTCTTTAACCCTTTCTGCGCTCAATCCACATACCCAGGTGACCGTGCTTGTATCCAAACCCCCAAACACACAATTTTGGCTCAAAAGTGAGCACACACAAGCACACTGAGAAGGTCAGCACAGTCTTTCTAGGCTCCTTTTATGCCCGGAGGCAGCTAGTTCAACAAAAACGCACGCTCGCTTTCTATGCTAGTATGGAGTTGCCTTTGGGGGATGGGAGGAGTGGATTCCAACCCAGGACTACATCTCCCAGCTCCTCTTGCACCCTGGCAGGGTCACATGGCCACTTCCCACCAATGGAATATGAGCCATGGAATGGAAGATTCCATTGTGAGGATGGGGGGCCTCTTCCAAGCTTGGCTGCTATGGAAGTCGGTGTGCTTCCCTACCCTCTCTGCAGCTTTGCCCAGCTCAGAGCTAGGATTCCCAGGCCTGACCCGATGGTGGAACCCTCTAGGGTTCCCACAAGATGCCCTGGTCTCCGTATGTGGAACTGTTGAAGCAAGCAACAATTCTATTCCTCATGTTACCCTTGAAGGACTCATTGGTGTGGCAGTTAACACTGTCTGCACGGCTGGGCAGGCTGGGCCCTCTGCGACCTGACTCCCCCCTGGCTCCCCACCCCTTTCCCATCCCTAACACCGACACTCCAACAATACAAAGTGTCTGATTCTGTGAACAGCAGCGTCATCGTCACCATTGTCATTGAAAACACTAATTGAGCACTTACTGTATACTAGGCCCTGTTCCAAGTGCCGTTCCTGTATTCCCTTCCTGGACCCTCAGGACCCCCACAGAGGGGGTGTGCATGGCTTTGCAGGCTCGATCACATCCAGCCACCTCTCCAGTCCTTCTCAGGACCCTGGGGGTTCCCCCCCGACCCCTGTGGAGATGGCCTCCCTCTCTCTGTGCTCTATGTGTCTCTCCCGTATCATCATAAACACTTACGGAGTCGTTCCACTGTGCTACGGTCTGGTCATCTGGGCTCAGCCACTCACTGGTCACTCCAGCCCAGCGAGCGAGGTGGCACTGTGCCCGTTTTAAGGATGGAGATGGTAACGCGGCCAAGGCAAAGTCACACACATTATGTGGCTGGGTCAGGATGAGTGCCCCGGCTGGCGGATGGGCTCCAGGCCCAAACCCAGACCACCAGACCCCACTAGCTGACCCCTGGAGGGGCTCCAAGTCCCCAAGCTCTCCACAGTGCCCAGGAGTGGGGGCTGGCCTCTCTGTATCACACCACACCCCATGCCTAACCCCTGGTAGATGCTCAGTGCCAGTGTTGTCCACTTAATCCAAGTGGCCTACTGTATAATTAGTGAAGACAACACACCACACACCACTGGAGTAGCCTGAGTACACGGGGCCCTCGCTGTGCTGGGAACTGGTCCAGCCAAGCTGCACACACCGCATCTGTGTTTGGCACCTGGACAAAATGGGACAAGATGTTTTGTGCACTCCTGCCCCCCTCCCTGGCTTCTGTAGCGCGCATACGTGCCATTTGAGTCGTTTCTTAAGCCCACGGGGAGACAGGTCCTGTGCCCCACAGGCAGGAACTAGGAGACTCATAGGGGGTGGCGCTTTAGCTCTGCTGTCCGGAGCCCAGAATCCTGGGGATGGGGTGAAGACAGAGCCTGAGGATGTGGACCTTCTGTGGTCTGGGCTAAGGACGTCAGCAGTCGGAGGACTACGGAGGAAGGACATGGGCCAGGCCATCCATCTGGTCAGCTCAGTCCTGTGACTTCCGCATGGGGCCCCATATGTGCCAGGCCCTGAAGGGATATGTAGGATTTGAACCTCACTGTGTTATGTTGAGTAGCTCACAAAGCCACTGAGCCACCACGGGGACTGGCTGGAAGCTGATCTTAGTACCCTTAGTTACCTCACTTGCTTAAGCCCTACGTAGGCATCTCTGTGCTGGTTGTCTGGGCAAGTGCTGGGCACTGAGACCTGACTGGTGCAGGCCTCTGGCTAGAGTCAGAGGCTGTGGGTTCCAGCAGCAGAGAGAGTGTGCAGCGAATGTGTGTGCGTGTGTGTGCGTGTGTGTGCGTGTATGTGCGTGTTTCAGAAAGGGAACCATTTCTAGGCAAGGTCAGTTAGCCAGTGGTTCCCAGACTTTGGGATTTCATGGACCAATAAAATTTAAACAAAAGAGGGCAGAATGTAGACTGACATAAATTTACCAAGTATTTCTTTAGGCCCAGTAAAAACACTGAAAATAGGAAGATTCTCTTCTGTCCCCTCACTGATCTTATTAACAAAGGAGACCCATAGAAGGACCTGCTTTATGAAAACCTCCCACTGCACAGGTCTTTCCTATCCTCAAGCTCCTGGACACAGTCACACTTCTGCTCTCAGATATGGCCCCAAAGATCAGGGAAGAGGACTGAGGGACATATCATAGCCACCATCACCACAATCACCACCATCTCCTTCATCATCATCACCATCACCTTTATCACCACCATCACCTCATCATCTCCATCATCACCGTCACCATCACAATTGCCATCATTATCTCCATCATCATTATCACCACCATCACCATAATCACCACCATCATCATCACGATCACCATCATTATCACCATAAACATCACCATCACCACCGTCACCACCGTCACCATCACGATCACCATCATTATCACCATAAACATCACCATCACCATCACCACCATCATCGCCACCGTCACCATCACGATCACCATCACCATTGCTATCATCACCGCCATCACCATCACTATCACCACCATCTTCACCATCACCATTGCCACCACGACCACCCTAATCATTATTATCGTTACAGCAACTCTGCTGTAAAATGAAGTTGGCCTCCTTATCTGGTCTTCACACAGAACCCAGTGGTAAGCGGAGTCTTGCTCCCGATTTACAGAAGCACCAGAGTAAGTGATGAGGGACGTGGGCTTTGAGGCTGGACACTGAATCCTGTGGCCCTGCCCTTGCCTGGCCTCAGTTTCTACCTGGAAAGAGAGAAGGTGGGCTAGACTGCTCTCAGGATGCTTCCCCACTGTCACAGTGTGCAACTCATGTCACCGCCAGGCCTGGTCGTTGCTGGCAAGCTGAGACTGGCTGTCACTGTGCAAGGAGATGGGGGCTGCCGGCTGCCTGGGCTAACCCCTTCCTGTGACTCACTGATGCAAACGTGAGTCATAGATACAAACTGTGGGCTGGGCAAAGGGGAGGAGAAGCCGGAAGTTCGAAGCCCAGCATCGAGGGGGGCTGTGCCCCTTCCCCAGGCCTGTAGTGTGAACAACCCCCCACCCCCTCTGTTGTGTGCCTCTGGGTCTGCCCTGCAGGGCCCCAGCACCGGGGGCAGGAGAGGAGGCGCCACATGCCACGCTGGGGGCCGAGGGGCCTGTGGTCAAGTAAGGTCTACAGGCCACGGTTTAGGGCAGGCCCTGGGGGGCTCCTGTACCCATCACAAATCGAATAAAGGAACAGGTGTCTCCTGTGGGACAGACCTGGGGCTTAGAGCGGACCTGAGGAGGGAAAGGGCACAGACCCTGTCCGTCGTTCTGATGTGGACATGGACACACACGTTCAAAGACTGCGGGCTGGGCGACCTCGTCACGTACGCGCCCATCATAGCCCACTCCAGGCTCGCAAGGGCGGTCTGAAGTCCATGAGACCCCCAGAGGGTCCCAACAAGAGCCCTCAGGGTCCCCACATCTGCCTCTACCCTCCCTCCTGCACCTCGCCCTCTGCCTTCCTCTTACACTGAAATGACTGGCCAGCCAAACCCTTCCCAGTCCATGTGCAAAGACATTCCTCTTCTCTTGGGCTGTGCCTCCCTGTTCTTTGGGGTCAGCCCTTTCCAAGTCCAGCCACATGGTCAAGGGAGGCTGCCCAGGCCCTCCATACCACCACTGCCCGGCCCTGGACTCCGGCGTTCGGCAAGGGAGCCTGGACCAGCTGTTCCTTTGACCACAGCAGGCGCCTGGCCCAGGGGAGGGACAGGTGACCCCGGCTGGGACAATGGAGTCCTACTCTTGCTGCTGCTATTTCTACTTTTGAGGCCACCATGGGGGACACGCCGCCTGAGAATGAGTCACACCGAGGACAGCAGAGCAGCTGGCAAGGAGGAAGTGACCGACTGCCCTGGTGACATGGTCCGGAGCCCAGCACGCAACCCGCAGCTCTTGCCGACCGTCGTTACAGGTGCCCGACGCACGTCCTTCTCGGTTTAACGCACGTCGCTAGAGCCAGGAACGCTCAGAAGGACGCGGTTACAC